ATATTAAAAAACAATACAACTGACAACCTTAATATATAGTCAAATTGTGTTATTTTGGGGTAATATATTTTGCATTCATTTGCATAATTACTGAACTTCTGCTGAGCAAACATGTTCCATGTTAAGATTATAGGGGAGTTTTTTTTAACGTTAATATAAAGATTTGTATGCCTCCAAATATTTGTCAGTGTTATCCCTGTTGTAGAAAAATGTTGTGCATGACTTTACATCTTCTTACTTAGTAGAAGAATATTGACCCTCATGTGACCTGACTCTCCTCATCTTGGCTGCCCTGAAGCAGATTTTATTATCCTGGGTTCCTGCAAAAACCTTATCTTGTTCCTTTGAAAATACAGGATGTTAGTTTTATTACCCAGATATCCTTAAGGTTGGGTGGCACCTTTTCACATCTGGTTTTCTCACCCTGTCCTAATGCGTGTAGGCTCCTAAACTTCTAAAAACACTTGTCAAGCTTCAGCCCTGGGCACACGTTCAACTGATCCAACAAATTTGAGGCTATAGATGTGCATAGCTGTTAGAGACATATTCTAAAAGACTCTTTAGATACCAAGGCATAATAATGACTTTGATGTACTCAACACAAAGAGACAGCACACTTTTCATTTGTCAGAAATGTTAAGAAACATATGTCTTACTATGCTGTACAATTTTACACGTTGTTTAGGCTTTGAGGAATATACTTTAAATAGGTTCAACTGGACGTACCTGTGAGTTTGACGATCACCCTGTGTAACTCATCGGTGACTTCCCCACAAAGCTGCTGCAGAAGTTTGTTCATCTTTGGGCCCTCTTTCAGATGGGGTGGGATTTGGGCAATCATAGAGTCTAACCACTGTTGCTGCATCGGAGCATAGGGTTGACTTTCCACAAAGGGCTTCATGCAGGTATAATTCCTCTTAAGTGTGAAGCAAAAGAGAAGGGATACGAATAAAAAAGTCTCGAAACATTTCAATTTAAAAATCATAAAAAAAAATTCTTGCAAAGTAGCTGCAAAAATTTGTTTAAGTTAATAAATTTGCAGTATATCTTCTTTTTACTGTGATTTGTGTTTGAGATGTGCAGATACGGTGGGAAACATAAGTATTTCCTCCCCTGCTGATTTTCAAATATTTCTCAAACAAATGCAGGATGTCTAAGGAGCTGGACCCGACTCTTGTCCTATCTCTTTTCACGAGCTTGATTCTCTGAATCATGTTTGTAATGGAACATGAGACATCCTTTAACATGTGCCTTGAATAACATAAAGGGATACAAGATTTCAAACCATCACTGTATGGAATGAAGACATGGCTGCTGATGGTTGATTTATATCTAACATTGGCACATAAAATACTTATTGTACTAAATAACATGCAAACCAGATTTTTTATTTTACATAATCATTTTTGTTCTATCTTCACGTCTAAAAATCACAGCTTAAAAAATGAGAGCTTTACATACATGCAGTAGGTGGGAAACAAAAGATCCTAACTAAATTAACATCAATCTTGGATAATGTTTCCCCACTCCATGCATGAAGCTGTTGCTGAACTGCAGAGCTCCTTCAGGGACAGACTGCTGCACCCTAAATGCACCAGGGAGTGTTATCAGAGATCCTTCCTCCCTGCAGCTGTAAGACTCTATAACCACCACCTTTTTCAATAACTTCAATAAGTTGTTACATTCATGCTGGTTTTTCACAGTTTCTACCTTAGTCAGTTAAATAACACGGTGCTGTCATTTGTGCATATCTCTGATTTTGCTGCTACTTTTTAAATATCCATTTCTGTGCAAATGTGCAAATGTATTCTCCAGGTGCACAATATTTATATTGTTAAAACACCTTACAGTATAGTGTTTTATTTGTTTATTTTTTAACTCTTCACTATAATGTTATTCTTAGACACTTTTCTAAAGTCCATATTTATGTAAACATTTTTTTTTCTATAATGTTGTTGCTGTAAACACCAGAATTCCCCCATTGTGGGACAATAAATGGATTTTCTTTTCTCTTTTATTTTCTAATTATACTGACTGAGGCTGAAATATTGAATTCTGGTGGATAGCTGTCCAAAGACACCCTCTCTTTGGCCTTTCTGTGATGCTTCATGGCTCTGGAGACCCTGCAGTAAATCAATGCAAATAGTCATATTAAAGGGAAATAAGAGGCCAAACGATATAGTTCACAACTACTGCTACAATGAAAGTGTAAATACGGAAAACAAAACAAAACTTACATTGTCCTATGAAAGTTATTTTCTCTCATTTTGATGCTGCCCTTCAGCTCCTTGTAAGCCGCTGTCATCTCCTTCATTTCTTCCTTCAGTTCATTTTGTGCAACGATGGAGCGCTGCAAAGAGTGTCCTACTATTTTTACCATCGGAGGAACGTCCTCCACAGCTTCAGAAGATTCCCCAGAGGTAGCCATTTATGAAAACGGCCCGCTAAGGCAGAGACGCTCAACACTCAAACATTGTCGTAAAAAGGAAAAAAAAAAAGAAAGAAAAACAACCTGCACGTAAATTTACCTCCGTAACTTTTTCTTAAATATATGAACCCAAAGAAAGGGGTTTGTAGCCTAATAATAGCGTCCCGAAAGCAGCCGTTGTTAGGGAGTTGTCAGTGCCGTTCCCATGGCAACGGTAAACTGAAAGGGAGGGTTGTTGGGAGAGGGTAGTACGGAAGAGGATTAGGGCCACTGGAAAAAAAAAAAAAAAAAAAGTAAACTGATTTTTAAATTTCATTTCAGTTTAA